AACTAAAGTCCACAGTGAATGAATCGCCTAAGAGTCATAATTATAGATCTCACTGCAATTATACGATCAATAAGAAAAAACAACAACAACAATGATTATACCAAAAGTTTATTTAGCTCTTTAAACAAGTTACAATTCTAAACTTAAAAACGACTGAATGGATTTGGACTATGACCCCACTTAGAAGTGATTAGTTTTTGAAGGGTCATGGTCACGAAAGTCGAAAAATAAATCCCTATCTGTTAATTTATTTTTGCTCTATAATTCAGTCAAAAATTATTGGATTTTGATGAAACTTGACGGACATATGTACAACATTATTCCTTGTCCTGCAAAAAATAGTCCGTGCCATTGATAACGACAGACATATGGATACATTTTTGTATTTTTCAGAACCGAATACGATCAACAATGTGCTGCAGAGGTATTACACAACAAAGTTTCTAGCACCATATATAAACTACAAAGAGAATAAATATCTCAATACAAAATTTTTGGTCATTACACTAAATATTTCATGAAGACATTAAATGTTATATAAAGGTAAGTAGCTATTTACACACATTCAAACAGAAAAAAAAAAATACAATAAATAAATCAAGTAAGACACATAAATAATATCAATTGTTTGTTTGTTATTAAGCACAAAGCTGCACAATGGGCTATCTGTTTTATGCTTACCAATGGTATCAAAACCTAGTTTTTAGCATTATAAGCCCTCAGACTTATTGCTGAGCCACAGGAGGCAAACAACATCAATACAAGAAATCAAACAAAATCACATGAAAATAGCCATACCAAGGTGCCACTTTGCTCTTTTCACAGGTGTTCCTTTATTCTTTTCTATACTGTTACCAACAGGTCCACTCTGCCAACGTTGACGCCCTACAAATTATAGAGATAACCATGTGTATGAAAAACTCAGCATTTTAAGAAATCCAAAGAGCAAGTTCAACTTTTGTCTATGCTGAGTAAAAATCCTTACACAGCTAAAAGTAATTAATTGCAGTAAATGATTACAAACTCCCTTAAAAGCTTCAAGCTAATAAAAATAACCAAAACCTTTTAAATATTCTTGAAAAATGTGCTGTCCTAAGGAAAAGTGAAACAGCTGAAAACAATAATGTCCTAATAAGAAATTAAACGTTAAAATAATTAATATGAAACACTCAGTGTTAAAATCGATACACAATTAAAAACATTTTTAATTCAGGCAAATCTATGGCCTCTACAAGTTTCAACATTTACCACGTCATCATCAGGAGTGAACGTGCAAGACTTGCATTATAAATCTCAGAGAAAGTCCCACCACTTTCTTACACAGATATTTTGCTGGACCTTCATCTCTATTTAATATTTTTTTTTTGTAAACTTTATTATTTCTAAAGATTCACAGATATTATTTGCTCTAATATCCTTAGTTTGAATCATTATTTCTGTTTTGTCCCATAATATTTTAAGTTCTGTTTTTTGTACATGTTCTACTATGGCTTAATTTTCGGTTCTTTAATTTTCTAAGCATCCCTTATGTTCTGCTAAATGATATTTTAAATTATCTTTTGCCTGTCCAATGTAAGCATTTCCACATTCAATTTTATAAATTCCAGTTTTTTCCATTAACTGTGTATTATCTTTAGTATTACCTAAAATTTGTTTTGTCTTATTCATTGGTTTAAATATAGAGTAAAATATCTGTTGTTTTTTTAGATACTTTAAATAATCTAGAAGTTAAACCTTTAACATGTGGCAACACTAAACATTCTTTTTAATTTTGTCATAACTCAGTTTTAAGGTAATACTTGGTCCAATTACCACATCAGTGAACTTGTTGACAAGCTCTATCTACTATCGTTAGGTTAAATCCTCTTTCAATTGCTATATATTTCATTAGTAACAATTCATTTCTCAAGTCTTCTTGGTTTTTATAAACATTCTATGAACATATGTGTAAAATGCAGACATTTTTTTGTGTTTCAGTAGAAAAAGAATCATAAAAACTTCCATTTCATTCATCATATGTCAATTTTTTTTCATTTATATGAATATTCACGTAACCCAAAGCTCACCTTTCAACTGCTCTGGATGAGGCCTGCCAGGGCTCTGAAAAATATAATAACAACATTAGAAGGAACTGCTGTAGAGCAAGTTTACTTTGTCTTAAAATTAATATACTGTATAAAGCATGTATGAAAAATAAAAAGTGAAATATACATACAGAAATTGATTAATATATTTTTATCTTTAATATGTTTTTCCAACTACTTACTTCAGCTATGGATGAAGGAGGGCTTGATGGCAAGTAGAAGTCTTTAATGTCACATTTTGATTCAAACTGTTTGTTGTCTATGATAAGGTGGTAGGCAATAGCCAACTGGTCATGAGGATCTCCACTTAACAAAGCACTGTGTACCTCCTTCTCCTGAACTCCAAATTTCTGAAAAAAGGCACTTAAGTGAATTACTGGTTCAAGCAGCTGTAAACTGCAAGGTCTAGAAATAGTCAATGTCTAAAAGCAATCTCCAAAACAAGTCAAATAAATGTCACATGTTTCCAACTTGTTTTGTCATATAAATAGCCAATTGAATATGGAACAAGCATTTTCCATAAAAAACTGAAGCTAATTTAACTATTGACATAATTAAACACTTTGCAATACAGCTGAAGACAATTTATCTATTGACTACATTAAACACTTTGCAGTATAGTTAAAATTAACTTAAATACTGACAGTATTAAAGACTGTCCACATTACAGCTGAAGTCAACTTTTGTAGTGACAGTATTAAACATTGTTCTCTTGGCAGCTAAGTTAACTTTTGTATTGACAGTATTAAACATTGTTCACAGTACAGCTGAAATTAAATTAAGTACTGACAGTATTAAACACTATACACAGCACAGCCAAAATTAATTTATGCACTGACAGTATTAAACATTGTTCACAGTACAGCTAAAGTAAATTTTGTAGTGACAGTATTAAACATTGTTCACAGTACAGCTGAAATTAATTTATGTAGTGACAGTATTAAACATTGTTCACATGTCAGCTAAGTTAACTTTTGTATTGATAGTATTAAAGATTGTTAACATGGCAGTTAAGTTAACTTATATGCTGACAGAATTAAACATCATTCACAATGAAGCTGAGTTAACTTATATGCTGACAGAATTAAACATCATTCACAATGAAGCTGAGTTAACTTATATGCTGACAGAATTAAATATTGTGCACAGTACAGCAGAAGTTAACTTACTATGAATGCAAGTATCACATTTTGCCCTTGGGCAAAGGTAAATATTATGAGGTCTGTTTTGAGCACATCTATATAAACTAGTAAAGGACGGAAACAGTGTGAAATAAATAGTATCTGCTTATATTAGTTTTATTACTTTAGTTGATTTGTTATTTCAACACTTCCTTCAATAAAGTGGCCTCGTGCATGACATCATTAAGCCTACAACAATAATATTTTCGAAAACTGGCTGTCAGGTCAATGTTTATGTGTGACGTCATAGTAAATAGCTATATTATGTATTGATTTTATTGTATCACATATCATAAACTGACCAATAAGTCAAATTTATATTTTAAAATGTCCCATGGTTATTATGCCATGTGTTAGAAGTAATTTTTAACAACGCAAGGTCAGAACTGGTATTATACTTTCCACTGGGTTGTACAGAGTTAACTGTGAAACTGTAAAAAAAGTCAAATAATCAGAGTGTAGTTTTTAATAAAAATATAGTTGCGGTTTACATCTTATTATATTAGTTATAGACTAGTGTGTATCAATCAAGTGGTATATAAATAGATTGAAACAAAAACTGGAACATTAAAGCAGTACTTGCTTAAACAACTACCATTTCTTTCCTGATAAAGTTGAACAGCTAGCAACAAAGAACTAAAAAAAAAACATTCTAACACTATGAACTGACTTCTTACCTCACAGACTTCGTAAACAGCATCAGTATCAATGATTGAAGCATCAGTATCATTAGGTGAGGGAAACAAGTAAACAGCAAGGTCTTTTTTGAACCAATCATGGTTTCTGTAAAATTTTGTAGCTATAATATCTGCACTAAAGTTGCAGGTACTAAAATTTTACAAATGAATACAATAACAATGGTAAATCTGGTTACAGTAGTCACATCGTTTGAGCAATATAGTCTTTCAACATAAAAAATATGCAAAATTAAGAAATTGCAAAAATTGTTCATTCCTTCAATACTTTCTAATTTGAAAAAATTAACCATATTCCAACTCTCAATGAATTAATTTTTTTCTTTGTGTTCTAAAATTGGTAATATCTCTTACTTTATATCCTCCATTGTTGCTCTTTTCATAGGGTCCACCTGCAGCATGTGACACAATAAACTGACGACAGACTTGTTCAGGTAGTCAGGGATAGGGAAAACTCCAGCTGAAATTAGTTAGGACATATTAGATATGAGACTAATGCCAGCAGGCAAAACTAGGTTTGAAATAAACATTAATAAGAAAAAATAGCTCGATAATAGCACAATCAAGAGAAACTAAATTATAAAAATACAAATTTTAACTCTTTTTGTGCTCATGTCAGAAGGTTTTAGTGAGTTACATTCAAAAGTTAATTAAACTACTTTCTTATCCCAATATATAAATAAACTTGGCATAAAAATGTAGCTATTAATCTAAATCTCAACATTATATAATATTAAGTTTTTAATTTTATGAGGCAATATTTGAAAAAATCCTCAATTTCACCTAGCATGAGAATTGTGACACTTGCTCTCTATGTATCTCTCTTCTCTAATTTATTTACCACCCCTCCAAGAAATGTGAAATTTAGCATAAATTACTCATGATAATGAGTCACTCAGGCAAATCGTAATTTTATTTGTTTACAGAGCCATTAAATAAAAAATCAGACCCTACTTGCCACGCACACCTCTTACATACTTTCTTTCAGAAATTGCCAATAATCCTCTCCGACATTTAATACTATATTATTTATAACCTATAGAAAGCCAAAGTTTTAATCTATCAAATAATGTGTTAAACTGCATTGTTTTTTGTACAGAGAACTGTCTATTTCTCTTCCACTTCAAACTTTACTCCCACAGGAAACACATCGATGAGCTTAGCTGAATTTTTAACAACTTTTGTCACATAGTTATAAAGCTAGAAAATTTTTTATAGTCATGAAACATTGTCTGCTTTTTCAGATGTTACTATTCTGTGTTCTTTGGTATATTATTTAATTATATAAAAAGTATTTAGTGCAGTAGTACCACTAGTGTAAAGAAACATGGTTAAGTGTCATCAACAGTTGACAGCAAAAGAAAAAAAAAGATCCAGGTATATACTTTACTTCTTGTTTTCCATGTGTATTCTTTATTTATTATTATAAAAGTAACTAAAATGTTATTCACAAGGTACGCTGTTTGAGTAGACTGTGCATTATGTAATTTGATATGGTAACATGAGCTCCATGTTCGCCAAATGATTTTCAAATTTTATGATGGGAATATTAATTTAGACACAGTTCAAATGGCAATAAAACAATAAACTTTAAGTACAAACAGATGTATACTGTTACAAGTTTAAAGCTATTTAGGATAGACATTATTAGTAGTCTCATGTTACAATAAAAAAGAAGGATATTTAGATTTATTTCCAACTTTTATGGTGGTTACAAGGTCAGTCAAATTGATAAACCTTGTGCACAGAATTAGGATAGAGAAAATAATAGATAAGAACTTATAGTGAAAATGTATTTCTGATAAGTACTTATCTCCTTTCACACAAAGCTATCTCAATCTTCTTGCTACCCTCTAAGCGTTTCTGAAAAAATGTTCATGCTCAGAGCACCAGTCTACATACCCCACCAATTTCATGCCACTATTGAATATGTACATAGCATGTGACTACTCTCCACCAATAGTATTGTGCCACCTATATTGGTGCAGCTAGGGTGCTCTGCTATTTCTCACTTTTGAGAATTGGTAGGCTCTAAAAGAAGAACGTAAGGAGTAAGAGTGGAAAGTGTGTGTGAGAGGAGGCAAGTACCAACTGGAAATACATTTTCAGGCTAAGGAAATGTTAACTTCCGATATGGTCTTACCTCCTCTCAAACAAAGTTAGAATCCCATACTGAAAAGGTGGAGAGGCGGGTGTATGTGCTCAACATTGAAATTATGTGGAAAGCAACTGCCTAGAATAAACAGGTGTGCTCTGAGATGAAACTGAGGCACACATGGGGTACCACACTACATCAGGAACAAATATGCTCTTAACATAAGTGCAATTTATTCGGAGAGGCGCAATCCATAGTAAAATATAATTTGAATAAAGTATGTAGATACCCAATCTCAACAGGTTAGGTGAGGTTCCATAACAGGATCAAACCAGATAAAAACAAATATAATGTAACATAAACATAATGGCTAGGGCATGTGGACTGTGGTGATACACATACTCATCAATCCTAACCATAAGTAAACAGTGTCATATGTCAAACAGCCAGAATTACAAAAGGGAAATTAACAGGTGGCCAAAACTGGACAAACTTCCAAAATAACCATAGAAGCAAGAAGTACAACAGACCGAACTCAGCATCACGGGGTCGTGGCACTGCCTCAGCTCAATCTGTAACCAGTATGATGAGTAGAAATCATAACTCACCAAACTGTAAATGCAGGGAAGAGACATCCTGCATCTGGAATTACAAGGATGACATGGAAAATTTGCTCAACCATAGAAACAGTGTACATACGTCCCATTGCCGCTATTATAAGGCAGACAAAGTCCTCCAAACCCAACCATAGAAGCAGGGAAAGAACTTCCTGCAACTGGAATTAACAAGAAGAGAGGCCTCTACTGGACACAACTGTAGGAACTGGGTGGTGTCATTCTGAACATGGTATTACAAGGAGGATTCCGCATCGGCTGGTCCTGCTCCAATCAACAGTTGTCTACCTCGGAAAAAGCAGCCAGGGGAAAGGGAAAGAGGGATACCAGTTTTGCCCTCTTCTCAGTGAGTGGGAAATCATCAATCATCATTGGAAGAAAAAAAGAGGGGAAGTAAATGTGGTGGGGAGTTCAGAGGAACATCACACTAGAGAAAGTGCATTAATACACATATTAAAAGCAGACTGACTCCAATTCATTCAATCAAAGGGTCAGCAGGGATGGGCAAAAATCTCCTTCTGCTTTTCTCATGAAATCCATGAGTGACAGTCCACCACTTAGTGAAACTTACTGATATCTAGAAACATATGTATATACCACCAGTAGCCTTGTGGAACACCCCACCTATAAAGTGGGTATTATAGCACAATCAGTAAATAGTGCAGGTTTGAGGCAAAGCATACCTGACCAGGCAACACCCATGACAGAGTGAGATCCTATTATCAGTGGTAAAAGAAAAAAGAGAGAGGGTCTCTGAAAAAGAAAACATAAATGAAAGGAAGTGATAAGACCTACCCCAGTCAAAGTTGAATGTATTTGTGTAGAATCACCACAAGAGTGAGACAATATCCATTTGAGGAAGTTACAATCAGATCATGCAGATAATGAGTGACGAAGGTATTGGGAGTATTCTACATTCCAGCCTGAACGATCTTCTCCAATGGATGTTGAGATGACAAATTTGATGAGAAGAAACCTTGTGGAGATGGCAAACTTCCTAACGAATTAACAAACCCAACCAGTGAGCATGACAGGGATAGGGCATGGGAAACAGAAGAGTTCCAGGAAATAAAAAGTTGGGAACGTGAACTCCAAAAGGAGGCAATACGTGCCACAAGAAGCAAACTGGACAAAGAAGCTGATCAGGGTCAGGTAGGAAATGGAAGGTAAGAAAATTGGTGTGAAAGACAAACCATATGGGCAGCATAGTTCTTAAGAAGGAAGGACTGGTCAGGGTATAGGATGACATAAGAGGAATGGTAGAGGATTTGGGTAACATTAATAGCATAAATATCTGATCAATGACATCCGCAAGCAAGGAGTAGAAGAAAAATAGGTCTTGAGGGAGAGATGGTACATGTAGACAAAGGTTGAAAGGGAGGACAGGAAATGGCATAAATAACAATAAGTTCCCAACCAGGTAAATCAAAGGAATGGAGGATGCATGACTCAAAAGGAGTGGAAAAGGAGAGAAATGAAACTAGGAGAAACGGAATGTGTTAAACAAGGTCTGCCTACTAGCTAGACATGGTCAAAGTGGAAAACCACTTGTCAAACAAACCAGATAAAGAATTGGAAAAGATGAGAAATGGAAGGGTGAGAAGGATGGAAATCACATCAAATAGACCAAATGCAGAAGGTAGACCATCACCTTTGGTAAATAGTCATGGGCGAAGATCGGATGGAACAGGAAAGGAAAAATACCACATATGGAGTCAGTCCCTGGGCAACGAGTGCAGAAAGACAATCAAGATAGCTCAAGACCATATCAAAATATAAAGTTTTACTGAAAAGTAATGTTTTATAATCATTTAGGTTATAGAGATTACACAAACAGTCAGATGAGTAAGCGCATTTTTAATTTTAACATTAAAATCACTTTGCATGGAGACCAGTAAACAAAACTACTTGGTATATCCTCAGATAAATTTTTATTGAAAAACACTTAATTAAAAAATTGAATTTTTTTTTTACAAAAGTTTTTTAATGTTTACTAAAAGTCTGCCAAATTTTGTGAAGATATAAATACTGCATTAAAAGTTATGGTACGGAAACTGTAACAAGTTCAAAATGGTTACGAAGTCAGTCAATTTGACCGAGCTCATGTGGAAAGAGTTAATTTTTATATTTAAGTACATCCACACCTTAGGTATTTAATTTCAAGAACATATGTATAAGTACAAACTACAACTCACATTTGATTTTTCTAAAGAGTGTAGGAACATGTTCATCATCAAAGGGAAGCTGAAAATTAAACAAAATTTTAGTTAAAGTTGACATTTTTATGTAAGGTTGTTTCTCATATATCTAGTTGAAATTACTATACTACCACCCATTTCATATGAAAGCAAAACATTTTTCGTTAAAAGTATTAGCACGTCCTAAATATGTAACCCTAAAATACTCCACTTGAAGCACAAAATTACAAACATGAAAATATCCACACTAATCTCAGAGGTACACACATACACATATCAAAACATTAAATTTTCAATTGGAGAGCAATAGAATTCATCTTATTTGTGCTTTGCTTAGCAGGTGTATCAAAACTTAGCAGGTTTTTTTAGTGCTATAAGTCTTCACTTACTGTTGAGCCACAGGAGGTGTATTTAAAGGAACTGAGTGTTTATTATATCAAATTGACACTTATATTCTGTAAATATTGAACATAAATGTGATTTATTCAAAAATACTACTAAGAAAATATAGTAAAGTCTTCTACATACACCTTAGAATTACTTAGGTTGTTAAACTCGTATACATGCAAAAAATAGAAAAAAAAATGTGTAAAGCACTCTGAATAATGATATTTTTATTACTAACAGTGAATATAACTTTCTCCATGAAAAAAAATACAAAACAAAAATATCATATACTTTTTATCTCCAGTAGTACTATAATTAATACACAAGTCATCTTTTCTTTTGAGACTAATACACAGGTAAGTAGTAAGACTTTACTATGGTAAGCAGCTAGCTAGTGTTAAGATCACATATATGTTAATTAGCCATACCATGTGATATTCAGAACAAATATATAATGAAAAACAAATGTTTCATACAAGCACATCTCTACATTTGGAAATTCCTTACTGATTGTCAGTGTTATCATCTGGATTATTACAACTATCTGATGACTAGTTACCTAAATTTCTCTAACTTAGTTTACCATTGTTATTACTCCAAAATATACACATATAATAAGTATCATAAACACAAAGAAATAAACACATCAGAGATCAACACACTGTCTGAGGCTGAACATACCATACAAATTTAACAAATACCTCGCATTGATGAAGATACGTAAAAAACAAAAAATATTATAACTCTTTCATGTCCAGATAGGTGGATTCCACCTAAAGGGCAAAACTGTATGACTGAATTTTTAAAAATATAGAAAATAACATTGTAGTCAATCTTCCACCCAGAAAAAAAATTTTGGAGCTTAAATTTATTCAATAAAAAATTGTGTTTACTTAATTTTATACATAAAAATTAAATATACAAATTTTGATTTTAGGTTAATTTAAACCTGACCTCAAAGAAGTCATTAGTATTCGTGCATTTCCTGAATTTTTTCTGGGTATAATATGGCACCTGTAGCCCTCTAGAAGGAAAGACTAAGTAATAATAGTTTTGAACAAAATAGCATGAATTTGTTTTAGTAACTTGAGTATTAGTGTAGTATCACCAATAGCTGTCATGGTACAATGTAAATGTATATAACTCAGCTTTAAGAAATCATAGGTTACTGCTCTAAACATGCCATGAAAGCTCTTTTTCCATTCTTTGAGATTATAAGAGCCAATAAGGCTTCCAGTTCATCACAAATTTGTGTAGAGATGAGAACAAAACAAAGTGATAAAAGCTTCGTTTGGTGATATGTTGCTAAAAAAAATGGTGTTTCTGAAGAACTTCCACAATTACAGTTATCATTTTTCTTTTTAAAGCTTGCTTTATCATTATAATTTATTTGAATTATGATATTGGAGCATGACAGAAAAATAAATATTTCTGTGGAAAAAGACAAACTAGACTTAAAACTTAATTAAGTCATTTTGCACTTGACTGTATCAAGTTTTGATTTGCTGACAAGGTCTATTTATTAGACTTTATCAGCTTAAGTAAAAGCCTGAAGGGCAAAGAAAATCATTGAAAATAAATGCAAGAAAAATATATAATTGAGTACAAAATGAGTTTAAAACTAAGCACATATATTAAATGAAATATTTTGATTAACAATTTCAAAAAATTTGGCTTCATTACAATTTTGGTATGGTAAAAAATAAGTTGTTTTTAGTGTACATCAGTGACTGTACAGAGAGTAAAACTGTACACATTGTTTTTTGAATCAGAACAAAGATAAAATTTATGGTTTTATAAAATACAAAGTTTACATGAAAGTTTTAAAAGAATGTTGGAAGACTTTAAAATCAAAAGTTAACACATTACACAAAAGTAAGCATTTTTAATTCTTTCTTAAAAAACATGTCACAATAAAATCTGAAATTTCAAAGCTGCAAATTCATACAAATATCACAAAGTTAAAATATTTTACTTATAAAAGTTACATAATCTGTAGAAAGTAATTCAGAAGTTTCAAAGTATTTCATCCAGTAGTTGTTTTTATAATACAATAAAACAAATTATACAACAAATGCATCAACTATGACACCATAAAAAAATTACACTTAGAACTATATAAGTTGAACAACTTACGTCAAGTCAAATAAAACACACCAGGTACTATTTACAATATAGCTAGAAATTTAAAGGTCAGTAAGACTATTGGGAAACATATGACTAGACTATTTGCAAACATCAAATTAGAAACTCAATACATTTTAATAAACAAATAAACTTCAAACAGTTTTTTAATTATTTAATTTTTGCTCCCAGAAAGATATCTATCTCTATAAAGTAAAATATATCAAGTTATGGTCTCCAGAAATTATTTTCTTGTTTCAGTTAGACAGAACAAAAAGAGAATGAAAGTAAACAAAAAAATTCAACTTACTGTGCCACAGAGAAGAGCATAAAGAATTACTCCACAGCTCCAGATATCCACTTCTGGACCAGCATACAACCTTGTCAATATGAGATAATTTCTTTTAATGTTATCACATAAGCACATATTTTCAAGCTGCCTGCCAATCCACTAGATACCAAATTTATCCTCATTAAAAATATTTCTATATATTCACTTATCAACTAACACATAAAATAAAGACACAAAAATAAAACATTCATGTCATCCACACTTGTTTGTGACATTAAATTACTCATGCTGATAAACTTTCTACAACAGTATTAAAAAATACTTTTCTTATCAAAATAATAATATATTTAGTTTCAGAAAGCTCATATGGAAAATGAAAGTTTATGAATTCTAGTATTTTAGCTGTCAATTTGAAAACTTTATCTCAGCTTACAGACAACATTGTCAACAAACGTTTCTCTAAGCAACAACAGTCCACATCTAGCCTTCAGATGTAATTAATCTGTTTGAACCTCTTATAAGAGTGGTTAAATCTAAATCCATGCATTTCAGATAAATCATTATGACAAGTGTATCAAGGCCATTCTGCTGTTTACAAACAAGAGGGCTTTACTGGAGAGATAAAATAGGTATTCAACTTGGGCAAAAATTTGAAAATAATTTTTACAGAAGAATTAATTTTTCTTGGTTGGTTTATATTTATAATATCACCTTCTTTGTTATGTTTACCATCTGAGAGCACATATGCTGTTGTTACGTAATGGGATGGTGAGAAAACAGAATTCAGTTTCTCTTCGTATACAGAAGTTTTTCAGTGTTTAAGGAAGTATGTAAAATAAATACATTCCAAAAATAAGAAAAACAGAAGTTTATAAAAACATACTGGAAATTGGCCCACTGTGATATATAAGTGAGGCACAAGCTTAACAACCTATAATACTTTTTTCTCAGGTAGTAAAAAAATTAAAAACTAAAACCATTCTTATAAAATAATTTTCAAACTTGTAAAAAGTGCAAGACTATATAGGGTACTTACACAAGAAAAAAGAAGGCACAGTTTTCAACAGAAGGTTGGGGTGAACCTATCCTTGATTTACAGCAAGATTTCAAAGTCAATTTATCTAACCATTTCAAGACGGGTCATAGGTGAAAGGCCATGTCACCTCGTTTGTTGACTCGCATTCAAATTTTATTGAAGTACTATTTCATGAATTTATGTCAATAACCTTGTTATGAAACTGTAGATTATAATTCAAATTTTAGAACTATACATTACTCAATTTCTTAATTTAAAAGTAAATATTAAAAAAACACAGATAAACATTAGATGTTTGTGAAGTCAAAATACTAAGTCTATGATTTTGTACCAATTAGAAACTCAAATTACAGATATTGACAAACTAGAATATAAAATAAGAAGGTCTTATCTTTTCTATTTCCTGAGATATTGCTCACGTAATAAATCAAACACAGTGGCACCCCACCCACCTCTTTCATTTTTGGAAATGATCCCTTATATACACTTACTTCTATAAATGAATAACAAATCAGAAGCTCAGAATGTCCCCCTAGTGGTTTTCTCAGCATTTCTAATGTGGCTAGCACCATTTCTTTCTTTTGAACTAAGATTTCAATGAGGTAGGTTGTGTCGTTAGTCTACTCGAACTTATTTCAAAATAGCAATAATCTATATACATATATAATGTATAATAATTG